CACATGCTCCTTCCTCGCTGCCACCACAACCTATCAAAACTTTTGTACCTGAATTCAAGGACTCCCATTTACAAACAAACAAATTGTACAAAAATGATAACATAGCAATGTTTAGTGATGAAATTGGAAAGGGCATGGGTCCCTTAATGTTAAATACACAGTTGGGACATTCATTCAGCAATTATTGCATGCCTCACTCATCTTTTAATGATATTATGGAAAAAGTTTTAAATTCCAAATCAGACCACAATGTAAATACTTCATTAGTCATTTTTGTTGGTAACAGGGGAAATGTAAACAAAAAGAAATTCTTAGGCTACTTTGAATCATTGTTAAAGTTAGATGTAAATAAAATTGTATTGTTTACACTTCCTCTTAGCAAAGGGTTGTCGCAGAAGGAAAGAAATGTTAGATATAATTTAAATATAATGATGCACAACCTAACTTGCCAAATAAATGGACCCTATTGTAATAAATTACATCTAATCGACACTAACAAGCTTGTTAGTAATAATATTTCATTGACGAAAGGTAGATATTACCTTTCTAATTATTATAAGAGACAGATAGCAATTTCGCTATCATATTATTTTTCCATTACAGCCAAGAACTTGGCTAAAACTATTGCTTCTATTGAGCAAATTGACATTACCCATAGCGACTTTGCCAATCCGTTGGCAGATATTTCCTTAGACATTAATAAAAATTTAAATGACATACCTAATAATTTACATAATAATGAGATTGACATTTCAAATAATTTAAATTTACTGATAAGACAATAGAGACTACCTCTTGCAATATTAATTTGATCACTAATAGAAAGTTCAATCACAGTAAATTTATTAAAAATAATATGATAAATAATATAAATTTGGTGCATCAAAACATTAGAGGAATGATGGGCAAAGACTTGGAGGTGGAACTGTTCATGAACTGCAATGCAATTGATATTTTTTGTATTACTGAACACTGGCTAAAAGGGGATCAGTTTATGTTCAATTTTGACCACCACCAGGTAGGCAGCTCGTTCAGCAGAAGTACAGCAATACATGGTGGCACTATGATACTCATTAATAAGAAACTTAAATTTAAAGAGCGCCATGACATTGTTAGTTTATCAGTTGAGCGAACTACAGAAATAGCCTGTTTAGAACTAAAAGGTTTCATAGTAGTATGTGTATACAGACCTCCTTCAGCTATGTATGATTGTTTTGAACGTGTTATGGATGAAGTATTAGTTAAAGTAACAAGATCAAAAAAGAAGGTCATCATCTGTGGTGACTTCAATATTAACCTATTGGAAAATTCAAGTATAGTAACCAAGTTCAAGGCACTTTTTCAATCATACAATCTGAAGAACTTGTTCTTGGAGCCTACACGAATCACTGCCACCACTGCCACATGTTTGGACAATATATTTACAGATATTGTTATTAAGGACAAGAAAATAATCAATCAATTACATTCTGACCACTGTGGTCAATTAGTATCTTTCTGTGATAGGTATGAAAAAGTGTCAGAAAAAAGAATTGTGGTGATACCTAAAACCGCAAAGCGTTGTGAAAACTTTAAGGATAAACTTAAAGCTGCTTTTAATAATTCAGTACTCTGTGTAGAGAATAACCCTAATACTTATTATAATAGTTTTTTTGAAACTTTCTCTTCAACATTTAACACCATTTTTACACCAAAAACGCTAGTGGTTAAAGGTAACGCCACATTTAGTGAATGGGCTACCCCTGGCTTACTCAAAAGTAGGAAAAGATTATACGAGCTATACGATGAGAGGAATTATAATAAAAGTGAACAGTTTCATAATTATGTTAAAGAATATTCGAAGCTGTTTAGGAAACTTTGTAAACTGGCTAAGTCTCGTTTTATTAGTTCAAAGATTAAAAGTAGTAATGATAAGATTAAAACCACTTGGAAAATTATTAATAGTGAAACTGGCAAAGATCCAAACCGTGATAATTAATTTAATTTAAACATAAACAATAAATTTATCACATCAAATGCTGAGGTTGCTGCTGCATTTGAGAATTTTTTTACTAACATTCCTGTATCAACTACTAAATCTTTGAACTCCTCACCATACCTTGCAGAATCAATTTTAAAAGAGAATGTTAGAAGAATTGATAGTGAATTTAAGTTCCAATATGTGTCCCCCTTTGAAATTATTAAAGCCTTTAACACTATTAATGTTAAAAAAACAACCGACCTATGGGGAAATTCTGTTTTAATTACTAAGACAATTATATCTCTTGTGGCTAATCAATTGTCATTTACATTTAATCAATGTGTTGATAGTGGTGTATTTCCTGATCTTATGAAGTCTAGTAAAATTATTCCCTTATTCAAATCTGGTAGTACATCTGACCCAACTAACTTTAGACCTATCTCAGTACTACCAGTATTTAGTAAAATTTTTGAAAAAATTATGTATGATCAATTGCACAGTTTTTTTAATAATAATAATTTATTGCACAATAGACAATTTGGTTTTACAAGGGGTCGCTCCACAACTGATGCTAGTGTTGAGCTAGTAAAACATATATTTGATGCCTGGGAGGATGCCCACGATTCTCTAGGTATCTTTTGCGATTTATCTAAGGCTTTTGATTGTGTTGTTCATGAAACGCTGATCGGGAAATTACAGCACTATGGTATCAAAAATAAAGCCCTGGAACTACTTGCCTCATATCTATGTAATAGGATTCAAAAAGTTGATATTAATGGTGAGCGGTCTCCAGGCTCTGTGATAGAAATGGGAGTTCCACAGGGTTCTATTCTCGGCCCTTTTTTGTTTTTAGTATATATTAACGACTTACCTCACTTTGTCAAGGACAATCTCGAGATTGTGTTGTTTGCAGATGATACATCACTATTATTTAGACTAAAACGGACACTTTCTGATTTCACATTTGTAAACAGCGCCATTTCGAAAGTGGTTCATTGGTTTGATGTCAACAATTTACTATTAAATGAACAAAAAACTAAGTGTATACGTTTCACTATGCCAAACGTCAAGCCAGTGAAAACTACTGTGATAATTAAGGATGTCGGGCTGGACCTTGTGGACACTACGACATTTTTAGGTATAACACTAGATGCTAAGCTACAGTGGGGCCCACATATTGATAAATTGTCGAGTAGACTCAGCTCAGCAGCATACGCAGTAAGGAAAATCCGAGAGTTGACTGATGTTGATACAGCACGACTTGTTTACTTCAGCTACTTTCATAGCATAATGTCGTACGGTATTCTGCTGTGGGGGAATGCTGCCGACATTCAAACTATTTTTGTGCTGCAAAAGAGAGCTATTCGAGCACTTTATAATTTAGGCAATCGTTGTTCATTGAGGCAGAAATTTAAAGAAATAAATATAATGACAGTGGCAAGTCAATATATTTATGAAAATGTAATATATGTTCACAAAAATAAAGATAGCTTTTTGAAAAAAAGTGATGTACATGCCATAAATACCAGAAATAAAAATAAATTTGTTGTACCCGCCTCTAGGCTCCAAAAGATAAACAAGTCTTTTCGAGGTCAATGTGTCCGATTTTATAATAAAATCCCAAATAATATTCAGGAGTTGAGTATTAACAAATTTAAATCCGCAATAAAACGTGGCTTGTGCCAGAGGGCCTACTACTCGATTGTGGATTACATGGAGGACAAGAATGCTTGGGATTAATTAGCGCAGGCTATTTCTTTCTTAAGTAAAAATGTGGTGTGGCTAGTATGTTTTTTATTATTTTTTCTATTTCTTATGTTTCACTTCATTTTCTCTTGTATTCGTTTGTTCTTCTTAATCTTGTTTTCTCTTCGTTGTTTTTTCACCTTTAAGTCCTTAATAACGGACATACTAGCACACATCAAAACAATGTTGTGATATATTTAATAGTGCCATTGTATCTACTTGTGAATTGCAAAAGAGTGGCCATGAGTTTGTTTGCCCTTTCTTCTCATAAGGCTCAACCCCTTGGAAACGGGCGGTTGTAGATCGGCACAGGCATAGATTTTGTATGGGTTTGATTTTGTTAAATTTATTTGGTTACTATTTGACAAAACAGAGATTGTTGCTTTTGTGTGTTGATCTATGACTTTAGAGTCTACATGGAAGACGATTTCAAACAATTTTGAAAATTTTATGAAATAAAGAAAGTTTGAGTTTGAGTTTGAGTTTAATCCGTCCTTAATCCAATGACAATATAATACTTTAATACGGTTGTCCGATTATCCTGATCAAGATCTTCAGGATTAGCGACTTTTCCTTGTGTAAAAAGGCGTGTTCTAATGCATATGTGACTTGCTTGATACTTTTTAGTGTTCAATGAGAAAATAATCTACATTAAAGACAAATCATTTTATCGTATATAATCGTGAGGTGGGTCAAGTTTCGTAAATATTTTATTGATTGATATTCATAAAAGTAAAGTTTTTACATTACAAACCATCTTAAAAAGCACCCCACGCTGTTTACGATATAATGTTTTTTTCCTTAATCACTCTATTTGTCTTTTTTAACCTTCAGAAAATTATATTCTACTGTTTCAATCGGATAGTTACAAAAGCGTGTTTTTTTTTGTTTTTTTTTTCAAATTAATATTTATAACATACTCTTTAACTATTAAATAAACCATAATATAGGCCGTTTTGAAATTTTGGATTCTTCACTTCTTCTAGTTAAGTATTTGGAATATGATATGATTCTGTAAGAGATTAAATATGACTAGGTCGACAAACTATTAAATAATATAATTATCAGTTGGCATTATACACAAGGTTTACACTTTTGCCCTTATACGAGTACTATGAAACAAGGTTATTTAATCACAAAGCATACATAATAATTTCATATTATTGTCTGTATTTTTCTTTTAATCATATTATTTTCTTTTTATCTAAGGAGAGGCCTATGTCCAGCAGTGGACTATGATATGCTGTTGATGATGATGGTGATTTTGACTGGCATAATTACTGTTTACACTCACCTTAACTCCACACTCAAGTTAGCCAGCTCGGGGATTCTGCACCAATAGTTCTCTGGCGTAACAGTTATAAACATCTGCACAAAGTATACGTAAGCGAATGTGAAACCCAATGGCATCGTGGCTATGATCAATATCTTCTGATACCTTCCAAAATCACCAACGTGTTGTAACACTTCTTCCAAAATATCAGCATCATGAAAGCTACTTTTGCTTTTTTCATTCTTGCCCTAGAAACGAAAATGAGAGACAGCACTTATGAAGGCAATTAAGGCACTTAACATAATAAATTTCCCAAAAAAATATACTACCGATTGCTTTTTATTTGCCATTTTAAGAATAATCACATATAAATTTTCTTTTTCTTTTAATAATACGTCCGTATACTTGTTGGGATTTTTTTTATTGATAAACAGCAGTATGTAGTACTCAAAACTTAAGATTGTGATGCCAGTGGAATAACCTCAAGATAACTCTTTGGTTGATCCAAAGAGTTATCTTGAGGTTATATATTGGTCGTCTAGTTAAGTCATAACAATGTTCAGAAACTTTAGGTACATTCCAAAATCAGTACACTTTACCCCCCTGGCTTATCTTTGTTAAGTTTTTGCCACCTAACTAGCTTCCGCGTCAATTGTCGGTTATTGCGTAAGCCTATGTCTTCAATCATGAATCAAAGTATCTCTATACTAAAATTCATCTAAATCGGCTTAGCGGTTATTGATTCCCCATACAAACTTCTTCCTTTTCACCCCCTTATAGGATTATTTCTGGGATAAAAACTACCCTACGTTGTTGCCCGGGACTTGGACTATCTCCATACCAGATTTCTTTTAAATCTGTTCAGCGGTTTTAGCGTAAAGAGGTAACAAACAGACAGACAGACACTTTCAGGAAAAATGTAGTAAGTGACAAATTGACAAACAAATTTTAGATATAGATTATATATTATATTAGCGACCCGCCTTGGCTTTGGTAGTAGAGCATATTATTTTACCACGTAACCTTAAAATTGTATAACTAAACCTATCTAATGTATCACTGTGTCTATTAGTAAAATCGCATTAAAATCTGTTTAGTTGTTTTTTACTTTATTTACGATTGATTTATTAGCTATTTCTTTTTCCAATAATCAGACCTGTCCAAGTATTAACATTTTACTTTATTTTCAAAATCAATAATCTTAAATTTGTTCTAAAAAGATGCCCCCAAAGTCACCATTGCAATGCAGAATTTCAATGTAAATAAGTTTGACCTACTTTATTGGAATAATCATTTCGAAACATTCATTACTTTCATATTAACTACAACTAGACTTGTAGTCATATAAATCAGGACTTCACATCACATCAACAGCCTTTAATAGTCCACAGCTGGACATAGGCCTCTCCTTAGAAAGGAGGTAAATCAGGACTTAGTCGTAATCTAATATATAAAATACTCGTATCACGGTGTGCGTGGTTGAACTCCTCCGAAACGGCTAGACCGGTTTTGTGTGCGTATCGGGTAGGTCTGAGAATCGGCCAACATCTAATTTTCATAGCCCTAATTTTTTTTTGTATTATTTTTTTTAAATAATGTATATGGCAAAACAACGTTTGCCGGGTCAGCTAGTAATATTTATAAGATAAGCTATCTTTTGTTATCCGGCTTTTCGACCGAATTGCACGAGTAGTCTAAATTAAATTATTGCACTTTACGTAAGCACCAGACAAAAGATGTGCTTGTCTTGCAACCTCTTAGCAGAACACTTCGCATCTTAAAGGTATGTATTAATGTGTAAGTCACGTAGTCCGTGTGGTAGATTAAGAATAGGGAGTGTCACCATACAAACCCGTATTCATCCCGTGGGTATCGTAAGAGGCGACTAAGGGAGCTAACGCAGACAAATAGCACTGCAAAGGAAAATACTGAGAAGGAAACGTGACACAAACCCTTTTATTTTTTAACGTGTGGAAATCCCCTCGGACCGTCACCCCACCGGGGTTTGCGGCGGGGTGGTGTGTCGGACTCGGACCGACTAAAACCACACGGTGTGCCACTCTGCGCCTGTAATAGGAGGGATCCGGGAACAGCTGTTATTAAGACATCCGGACCCCTCCTAGCGCCGGCCCGCTCCCCGTCTCAAAAATTTTTTTTTTCTTTCTTTAGGCGACGTCCGGCACACGCGGACGCCGCCCCCTCGCGGCTAGCCAAACTAATGCGGGTGGAGGGGAAACCCACCCCGTCCACTCGCGGCCACACTCAGGGCGGCATGAGGCGGTGAACGTGACACAAACCCTATACCAACCCGTCTGGCCATAGTGGTATAGTAGGTCAAAACCTCCTTTCTAAGGAGAGGCCTACGTCCAGCAGTGGACTACTCGTATTAAAGGCTGTTGGATGTGACATGAATGTGTAAAATAATTGTTATCAATAAAAAAGGATTTTCATGAACTACGCGAACTTGAACATTTGAGAAAACGTTTAAATCTAGAATGATGGCTATCGGACATGGCTTTCACTCTAACCCAGAAATAATAGAAAAATCCATTTTCAAAATATACTCATTGATGTTAAAAGTAATACGTTACATATCGTATAAAACCTACTTACTTCTAAATTCCTAAGTTATTGCTATGAGTTGTATTACTGAAATCAATAAATTACTAATAGTTTTTTTAGTTATAAACTGAAAGCAAATGCGAGATTTTTTAAATATAATGTTAATCAAACTGTAACAAATTCATAAGAAGTTGTTTTATCAAATGATTATTTTCCTTTAAATTCGTTGTCGTATTTTCGAACTTAAGTCTTAAGAGGAGACCAAGGCCGAATACCAAATTACTAAGAATTTAATCTTTTCATGCACTTGGATTTCCTCACTGTATTTCAAAAAAATACTTTCTAACAAATAAATGACATCACAGTACCTTCATAATCAGTTCCTTATTGCACCTTTAACAGTATTCTGATCCCAGACACCTTTTATCACTGTATTGCATATAGCAAGACTGTATTAATTTTATAAATAAATTTAATAAAACAGTATTAATATTTTGTACTCTAAAGTTTCAGATTTTGTTTCAATCACATGTCAAAATGTAAAATATTAGCCGAGTATAGAAAATCCGCTCATACATGAGATTAGGATGTCGTAGAGTATCAAACAGACCGGTGGAGGTTATGAAGGTTGCAAATACTGTGCAGATATAATAAAAATGTGCTGTAGTCAACGTAAAGACAGATTTCTTTTTACTTTTACGTTCTAAGTTTACTTAATCAGCGATTTCATGCGGCCACGCGGAGTGTGATTAATCCAGTGATCTATATTGCACGCTGGTTATAATATGTTCTAAAGTTATGAAATTTGAATGTACTGTCATCAAATCATATTCATACTCGTACATTTTCCAAACTCCGAAGAGGCGTTTTCGGAGAGCTGAGCATAGTTACAGAACGTAGTCATACATAAAAGGTATTATCATCACCAACGGCCTTTAATAGTCCACTCCTTAGAAAGGAGATTTTGGGCTACTACACCACGCTGGCCAGATGGATTTATTTCAAGTTTTATTTCTCTTTGCAGTGTTATTGTCCTCTGTAGTTTGCTCCTTAAGACGGTTCTTAAGACACCCACGGTATCTATTCATACAGGTGTTTACACTCTGTATTCTTAATCCGTCACCACACGGATCATAAAAGGTTTAACAAGTTAAAAAGTAGTAAAATGAAATTAAATGAAATGATATTTATTTCTGCAAGTAATTCTTTTCAGATATTTTTACAAGGCGGACTTTACAGCTCTGGGAAGAAACGCCGAAACAAACCACAGAGGTGTCTTTTTTTGTTTAAGTCCGTGTACAATGTGAAAGAGAACTATGTGAGTGCAGTATAGGGTATATGTTGGCCTTTTGAAGAAAGGACCATAGTATTGAGTCGGCCCGTCCATACAAACTGCATACGAGCCCCATCCATTGTATAGTCTAACCGATATAGTAAGGATCAACAACCCAACAACATGTTAGCGGCCCTTTTCATTGATATAAATCTATTTTTAAACATACTATTGAAATATTTTATTTATAAACATACTATTGAAACCGTCAAGTTTGTTTGCAAGTCAAGTTATGTAAGTGGATATTGGTAACTTCAAATTTCATGTTTGGAGTTCAATTTCTTTGTAGTGCAAAGAAATTGGACTCCAAACATGAAATTTGTGTATAATGTGTATAATCCAGGTCATTACCTTATTGGCATGTGCCAATTAACTTTTTGTTTAATAAGTGGGGTTTTCACCACGAAAAAGCCGTACTTCGACAAATAGGTATAGACCAACGGAGTATAAAGGTCATAGCCGACTTAAACGAATCAGCTCCCACCCAACAGTAACAACAAAAAAAAGTAAACAGACGCAGAAGACGCGGTGTCTGAGTTTTTTATACTGTAAAGTGCGTCTACAGAGCACGATGTTAAGTCTAAATGCTCATGCTTTGGTTGGGTGGGAACGAAGTCGTTTAAGTCGGCTACGACCTTAAACCAGCAGACGGGACACCTGATGGTATGGTAAGTGACTACCGCCGCACATTGACACCTGCAACTTGCCGCCCTTTGAGTCTCTGCCCCTAGAGTCAGAAGGGGGTGGGGGAGGAGCAACAAAGATTGCTTATAGCCGGTTTTCTATAAGGCCGTGGTATCACTCCGGACGAGCTGGTCCATTTGTGCTGAAGCAGAAGGCTCTCCCGCGATAGAAATCATTAATCTATCTTTTCGTATATTAGAACCTTTTTATCAAACTTATAACTTACTGGAAATCATTAGGAGAGGCCTATGTCCAGTGGACAAGCATAGGCTGAGGTATATATATATCAAACTTATAAGGCTACGAGTATTTGTAACACGCTTTTATTAACTTGGTATGTACGTATGTAACGCAATATTCGAACGTAATTTTGCCCTACTTCAAAACATCGAATTAAATTGAAACTTCGCACACTTATATTATTAAATTGAAACTACGCAAGGACCGATGACAATACAATAATTTGATAAATTTGAGTTGAGGATCTTCACGGTTAATGGCTTTTTCCTCACCTAAAATATGGTTGTGTCTTTTGTTACGTACTAAGAGACGTGTGCTGAAGCATATATTACTCACTTACTTCTTACTTTTTTATTCTTATGAAATTTTGAAGATATTTTATAAAATAACATCTTTCATTTCATCAACAGCCTTTAATAGTCCACTGCTGGACATAAGCCTCTCCTTAGAAAGGAGGTTTTGGCCTACTATACCACGCTGGCCAGACGGGTTACTAATAAAATCTTAACTTTGAACAATATCTGTCAATAA